AGGAATCAAACTCTGTGTAGATAGGGAAGGGTGGAGGAGGTGAAGGGTGCACAGGTAATGGGAGGAAAAATAAAAACTAAGATGCATCATGTTCTGGTACAAACACCCAATGATAAATGTAAATGTATTTTACACCTAAAATGTACCAATAAATATATATATTTAAAAAATAAAAAATAAATTAAAAAAAGAAAAGATACATTCACATGACACAAAATTCAAAGAGTTGAAAAGGGAGCTACAATGACAAATCTCTAGCACAACCTGCACCCAGCCAGTCTTTCACCCCAGAGGACTGTTACGTGTCTTGGGTATGCATCTCAAAATACTCCACATATTCTGCAAGTATAGAGGAATATGTATGTATACATATGCATAAAATTATTTGGCCCCAATACTTACATACTACACATGTTAGGATCTAGAGCTACCTCACACTTAATGGCTTCATAGCACTCTGTTGTATGGATGTACCACTATTTAACAAATCCACCTACGATGGCTTCCAATCTTTTGCTATCAGGAACTGAATATCCTTATATGCAAATCAATTCACCTATGTGTAAGCACTCCTGTTGGATGAATTCCTGGATGCATAGGCCAAAGTATATGTATATTTTAGATTTTCATGGATATGAGTTTAAACTCCTCCCAACAATCAATATAACTATAAAAACCTGTACCCAAAGGATTCCAAATAGAATTTACTTGTAATGTAGTTTTGTTTCTCAACATCCTATTCCCTCCTTCTGCAGAATTTAAGAAATGGACAGAAACAGGTGTAAAAATGTTTATATAAATTACCACAGCCAGGGGCTCCCTTGCCTGGTCCTTTGGGCTATATTTGGCCTTGTGCCTGTTAACTAACCTTAAACTAGAGTTGCACAAAAGTATTACACAAGATGACAATGTAGAAAGTTAAAGTGAATTGCATGAAAGTATTACATCGGATAACAGTTCTGAAGGAAGTATTTGTAGTGCCAAAGTTACTTTTTAGGGAGAGTTGAAAAGAGTTGCGTTTATTAGGTAAAAGTGAAGTAAGTGGAGTTGTCTTTGGTGCCCTGATTTGGGCAACACGACCCTTCAGGAACCTCACTAGCTTTTACTCCTATTTGCCACTCTCCAAAACTATCACAAAGGCATTGGTTATCTCCCCCTGTAACCCAAGGGATACATTAGTGGACTGAATTTTAGCTCTTATCTATGTTGTAAGTGGGGTCATGTAAGGGCTACAGCTTTCACCAAGCAGCAGAAAAGTGGCCCTGGATAAGTAGGCAAGGGAAGACCTTTCCCAGCTTCTTTCTTATTTAAAAATAAGACTGGCAGTTCTGAAAGCATCACTTTTCTACAATTACTAGACAAGGCTTCTTATTAAATTCTCCTTTAAAATATAATCATTTGTCTTTCAAGCAGATCATTTACTCACCAAAGGCACCATCTAGGTAAATAAAGAGTTCAAAAACACTGAAAGCTATGGTTGTATGTGCTGGAAAAACAATAGCTTTGTCTCTTCCCTTGGGATTCTGTTCATCCATAAAATGAAACTATAATAAGCAAACAAACAAACATTATTAAAGAGCCTAACATGTCAGGATAGCTTTTTGGAGAAACAAAACATCTCCTACAATCCCACCAAAAACAAAGCAAAAACAAAACAAAACAAAAAACAACCCTTCAAGTAGAATCATCCTGCTTGAACTAAACAGCTTATAGCAGAGATCCAAGTAGTGCACTGTGGACTCGAGATCTGTATTGGGCAAGACCTCTCCACTTTTTCACTTACTTTGGTATTGAAGTCAATGACTAAGCCACTGTTGCTTTCAACTGCAAATCTTAGAAAGTGATTTTGTTTAAGGGCTACTTTGCAGTTTGCGGTCTAGCCTATCTACTGTTCCAATACCCCAACTCCAGCTTCCAGCAGCTTTCCAAAGCAATCACTAACTTATTAGTCATGAATGATGAGGATAAACAATATCATAATTGAGTTCAAAATTAAACAAATCATTTTCTAATTGTTTAAAAAGAATTTAACACTGAACAAAGCACATTTGGCCAGTGATGTTAATTTAGAAAAAATATTTAAATATAAAATATAAATTCAACTTTTAAAAATTCAAAGTATGAACTATATTACTTCAAAATAATAGCCAACAATACAGCCTGGGCTCTTACTTTTTATTCTTAAAATAGCACTTAAATAGTAATGAGGGGAGCTCCAGTATGCACAGTATTTCACAAGGATTAGTGTTTTGTTTGAATTATATTACACTTGTTGAGAATCCAAGTTTTCTTGCATGTTTTTCATACTCTGAAACACACCATTCCTGTGCAAAATCCTACACAACTACAGCCCTTTCATCTCAACGTCTGACAAAATGTATGTCTCGTAGTAAAAGCTTCCCATGGCAACTCTGTAGCGAGCGTGCTTTACCCGCATTGCTTCCCCTCGAATGCCCGCGTGCACGGAGAGAGAACACTGTCGCGTGGTCCGAATGCTTTCCATGACCACGCACAACACCGCCTTCCTGCTGCTCCTTGACTGGCGTATCAAGCTGTGGTCAAAGTTAATCTTTCTAAAATAAAAAAGATACATTCACAAGATTCTGTGACATCTCATGACATATATCACCTGTTATTCATTCGTGAGTGATCTTTACTAAAAGTAAATCGAGGCAGACTTACTACAAATCAGAAAACATACCCCCAAATTTTGAGTCATCTGCCTCCCTTCTTTTCCTAAAACATGCTTACATGGAATGTTCTGTTCTGTCTTTTGAGAATCCGTTGTGGCAGACCGTTTTAGGAAATTTGCTGTCTGGTCCTGTTTTATTTCAATTTAATAATTTAGCAAATATGTACAGAACTGTAGTGATTTTATGGAACTGAAATTTTTCTTTAAGACAAATGATTTTTATATGTCCTTATCTAAAGTTTGGCTATACTAATTTGTAATATTTCAAACAATTCAAACAAGTAAATTACATTTGTATTATATACATGAATATTGTAAGCATCCTTTGCAATGGAGTTTATATAATTAAATCATTTAATGAAAATAAAATAGTATGTTAGGATTATTATACCAACCGTGTAGTAATTTCCTTTAGTAATGTTGATACTTCCACTTCATGTTTGGTAACTACACCAAATGAAGCTTTTACTGCAATGGAATCTGATCCAGTAACATTAATCCCAACATCATTTACAATATGGTTGCCTCGACGTCCATACAGTGAAACATCTGATTCATCTTCATAATTCAGTAACTGATAAGATGAAATACCTTTACAAGAAAGAACTTAGTATTTTTTAAATGTCTCAAATTTGTCTTATATAGGTTATATATAGTAACACATTAATTTGCAAAATTGAAGACTCAGTTATTCAAATGTTAATGAGAAAGTCAACATTTCAAACCAAGATTAAAAATAGCAATTCAGTTAAATGCTGCAATCCCAACTACTTGGACCGCTGAGGCCGGGGGATTGCAAGTTCAAGCCCAGCCCAAGGAACTTGATGAGACCCTGTCTTACAATAAAAAATAAAAAAAGATGGGGATGTAGCCAGGTGTCAGAGCATCCCTGGATCTATTTCCAATAGCACACATGCAGAGAAAAATCAATTCAATTTTACAATACTTAAAATTAACTTAAATTCTCTGTTCAACCAAGGGAACTTCTTAAGCATCAAAAGCCACTGGTGGCTGAAAGAAAAAAACAAGTGTTTATAAGCAATAACTTGCCAAAGTGTAGATTTATTTTATGATCTAGCTTTTAAAATACTTTTCAGTTTACCCAGTGTAATAAATGAATTGTACAAAAATACAAATTATTTTTACCTCATTTGACCACGTAAAGTAGGTAAGATCAAATAATATCCTATTTTATACATGAAAATGCATTGTTCTGTTATTTTCTAAATTGACTCAGTTAAAAAACTAATAAAATAACTGGTAGATCAACCAATAAATTATTTGATAGTATACAAACTTTAGGCATTATTAATCCCATCGATATTACTACTATCATAATAAAAGTTGCCTTTATCAATGAAAATGTGTATTACTAATGTAATTAGTGCATAAGACCTATTTTTAGGTGACTAATAACACAGCCCCATGAGTTGTCACTCCCAAACATTTAAACTTACCAGCTGAAATTTCTCTGTCTCCTAGGAGAATATCTTTCAGTGTAAAAGGTGTTGAGGTAAATTTATATCTAGGAAACAGAAAGCATCGCTTCTTTTTTACCACAAGACTTAAAGGTTGGTATTTGTCGGCTTCACTGAGGCTTGGAACAGGAACTAATCTCCCTCCATCTCCAACTTGCTTGACAAAGCTCTTGGTAGCAGCAGCAAACATATTAATATCAAAACGTCATCAACTGCAACCCCTAGGTAACAAGTCCATCTTCACAGAAGAAAATCAATAACAAAACTAAGCCTTGCTTGATCTTAAATGTAATTACACACGTTAAAAATACAAAATGTGGTCTCACCAAGATGTTCACCAATGTGTGCATCACAACACTGCCTTCCTCATGCACTCAGGTAATGAATAATAGAGTGCCGAGGTAAAATGATACACTAAAAGCAGGTCTAATTTGAATGGCAAGCAACAGCACTAAAACATACACAGAAAATGAATTCAAGCACACTACCAATGTACTCGCTGAGGATTCTGGTTGATCACAATTTGCCAGTGGCAATAGACCAGTCTTGTGGGGAGCATATATTCCAATGAGAAACAATGCAATTTAGGTACTAACATCAGCTCTAGATACTATCTACCATGGACCTAGTCCAAAGGGAATTCCTTCACAAGTCCACCAGGCCAATTTTGTCAACAGAAAAATGCTGATTTGAATCCTTATGGTATACAGTTCACTGCATATTTCATTCATTTTGTCTTACATGTTTGCAAAACCGTGTGCTTCATACTGAATATAATTTCACAGAATATGTGGAAACAATTGTATGCAGATCTTTATAAAATACTAAAAGCCACATTACATATAAAACAACTATCAGAAGTCAGTGGTTTCTTCCTCAGAAGGTGGGCACTTGTCTACATCACCTGAAATGGAGTCCTGCTGCACTTAACCTTCGTCTTGTTTCATCATTACACCAGTTGCTCAAATCTTAAAGAGCCACGTAAGGTTTTGGCTTGTTTTTAAGGAATTTTGTGGCTAAAAATAAATTTTAGAAACAAATCTGTACTGAAATAGTTTTTCTTAGTTCTGTTAAGAACATTAACCTGGCGCTGGGGATTTAGCTCAGTGGTTCTGGCGCCTGCCTCGAAAGCGCAAGGTCCCGAGTTTGATCCTCAGTACCAAAAAAGAAAAAAAAGAACATTAAGTTGGAGAGGGGGCAACCCCCCTGCCTCGACCTCCCAGACTGCTAGGATTAGAAGCACGAGCTGCCACCATCCCTAGCTTACATTACCGTATTTTGAAATCGTGTCTCTGGTTCTTACTATAAGCTATTCATGAAAATGTAACATTGTTGGGTAATAATCGATATACGTACAGGAGGTAGAAGAATATAGGCTTAATTTAAGCCTCAAATAGTAGAAATTAGCTTAATTAGGTTCTAAATATTTTCTCGCTTGCTTTCAAATATACAGGGCTCACATGCAACCAAAAACATACTTTACTAACGTCCCTTTTGAAGACACAATAGTACTGTGAAAAACTGGATTTCACAACACTGAGCAGAAGGAGCCTTTTCCACAACTGGCTAGCAAACCCCTTGGAGAGGAGACACACCTAACGTAGCTAGCTGACCCTCATCAAAGGCGATGCATCCCAGGAAACGCCATTAAAACCAACCCAGGTAGGCAGAATCAGCATCTGCCTGGATCCTGGTCCACAGAAAGGCCTCGTTTACACCCAAGTGCCTCGCTGGGCTGCGCTGGCCCCGCGTTCAACTTGCGACGAAAACCCACGCGGAGAGAGGGGGCTGCACCGCGAGGGCTCGGGCCGGGAGCCCAACGCAGCCTCTTGGGCGGAATAAACCCAGGGGCTCCAGTTTTCTGGCCAGGTGCCAGGGGGTTCCCTAGCAATTCTGCATTCGGAATTTTAAAATCTTTCCTAAAATGACCAACCCCCATCTTATTCCCTATCCTTCAAACACGCTGAGCTTCCGGCCTCACAGACCCGGAGCCCACCCGGGCAAGCATAGTCTCCGAGGAGGAAACTGCATACTTCTAAGGACAAAGAACTGAGAGTCCCACCCAGGGGTAAAGGCTGGGCCGGGCGCCGAGAGCCCCGAGGGCCAAAGTGGGGTGCGGAGGAGCGCGGGGGAGAGCCGAGGCGGGCAGAGGGGGCGGTGCTTGATGGCAGAGGGGCGGAGCTGAGAGCTCGGGAGCCTCGGAGGGGAGCTGACGCGAGCTGGGAAGAGCCGGACTGGCGTGGGGGCGGTGCCTGGGAGGGGCGGGGCTTGGAAAGGGGGCGGGCGCGGAGCCGCGGCGGGAGGGGGGTGTGGCCGGCGCTACTGTGACCAGGCTCCGCCTCTCGCTCCCCTCCCGCCCCGCCGGTCCCCTTCGCTGGAGGGACGCACGCATCGGGGCGAGGGAGAGTGGAAGAAGGCGGCCGTGCTAGAGAGCTCCTCTCAGGGACTGGCTGAAGCGGGGAGCGAGGAGCCGCCGCACCGCTCTTCCTCGCGCTGCTAGCCGTCCCTTCTCGCCATGTCCCAGAGCAGACATCGCACCGAGGCCTCGCCGCTGGAGCGCGAGGACAGCGGGACCTTCAGGTCAGCGCCCGGGCCGTCGGGGCCCCGGGGCCGAGAGTGGTGGGCGACGGCGACGGGGGCGGGGAGCCGGCTCTCCCGCGGCATTGTGGGTAGAGCCCCTTCCCGGCGCCCCACGCCCGGCTGCGGCGCTCAGCCCCGCCCCTCTGAGGCTCGGGGCGACGTGGGGCGCGGGGGGCGCGCGGGTGCTCCTCCGCTGAGACAGGGTCCTGGGCTGGGCCTGGGGGTTGCAGTGCTATTGCTCGCCCTGCTCCCCGGAGAATCCCACGTTCGAGTTCCCCGTAAAGCTGTCATCGTGCGAGCCCCTGCCCGAGCACTGCCGCAGGGAGACAGGTGCGCCCAGGCCTTTCCAGCTGTGGCGCTGGCCACCGGGCAGCCAGGGCTCCTCTCCGGGCACCATCGGTAGCTGTCAAGCTGGCCAGTGTACGCCGCTGCGTCCCCCTCTGCTTTGACAGGCAAAGCCCATCTTTCTCTGGTTTTTGCAGTTTGGGGAAGATGATAACAGCTAAGCCAGGGAAAACACCGATTCAGGTATTACACGAATATGGCATGAAGACCAAGAACATCCCGGTTTATGAATGTGAAAGATCTGACGTGCAAATACACGTGCCCACTTTCACTTTCAGAGTAACCGTTGGTGACATAACCTGCACAGGTCAGTATGCGCAGTTAACCCCCATGACCCCGCGGGTTGGCGGTCCAGACGTGGTGTTGATTTTCAGTTCGGAAAAGTACCTCTTTTGCCAACTAGGAGAAAAAGGCTCTGAAACCAAAACCTCTCATCATGTGTGTCATTAGGGCTTTGCAACTTCATCCAGTTCCCTCCCTAATTTTCTCTTCCCCAGATACATTTCCATGCTCAGAAACCAAAAAGTTACCCAGTAATCCTGGAAAGCTTCTCATACCCTCAGATCCTCCTAAGTTTCCTCTAAGAATTAGGGAAGAACAGGAGAGGTTCTGGGAGCCATCAGTAGGTTCTGTCAGGTTTCAAGTTTATTCATAGATTACAGCAGATACAGGGAGGAATGATACCAGAATTTCCTGAGTTTCTTCCCTTTCTTTATGGACACATTTGGAACTTTGGGTCCATTATGCCACTTGATTTTGTGTCCACAAAAAATGAGAAAAGGCAACAGGCTTCCTCCCATACACTGTACTGCATAGTAGCTTTTAGTTCCTGAAACTCTACAGGTATTTTATTTAAGATAGTAATTTTTTTTTCCTTCCAGAGCTGGGCATGGTGGCCCATGCCTGCAATCCCAGCACTGGGGAGGCTGAGGCAGGAAATAATGAATTCAAGGCTGTCCTGAACTACATATTGAGTCCCAGGTCAGCCCTGGACTGTAGAGCAAATCTTCTTTCTAGCATTTAAATTTGTTTTCCTCTTCTTAAAATCCACTTACTGGTTTCCCCATCACCCCCTGGAAAAATACAGAATTTTAACTATGGCTTACAATCTTGCTTCTTAAAATGTACTCAGTGGCAGCAATGATACCACTTGGGTGCTTGATCAAAATGCAGACTATCAGGCCCATCTCCTATCTATGGGATTAGAGTATGTTTTAACAACATTCCCCAACAAGTCCTATGTACACTAAGGTTTGAAAATCACAGATTCATAATACCCTTGTTTGGCTCTTCCCCAACAGCCAGCTGTCCAGTCTTTTATCAGAACTTTTCCCAAGCTCTTACAACTTAGCCATACTGAGTACTCAGGGGCCTTAAGAACACTAATCTATGTGGCCTTTGAGCCTTTGCAGGCGGTTTTTCTCTACATAGAATGGTGTTCCTAATCCTCCACTCTCTCTACTTTACTAGCTTTTACTCATCTTTCAAGTGTCCATTTAGTTATTTCTCCCTTCAGAAACCCTTTCTGAAGCTACCAGGAGTTAGAGAGTTGCTGCTTTTGGGGAGACTCCACAGGCTTGTTGTAACATGTACCCCTTCATATTTCAGATACTTGTTCCAGACAAAATCCCACACTAGGCTATACTATATCGTTAATATCTGTGTCAGTAGATAAAAGAGTATGGCTTGTGTGTCTACTGACACTTGAGAGTCACACATGAAACTTATTCTATGAGTTTGAGGGTTTGAACTCAGTAAGAAAAAAGACTGAATTTACCACTTACCAGATGTGACCGTTTACTGAAATTTAGACCACATTTAGACCACTGAAGTGTAGTCTTTTCCCCAGCCTCTTCTTGTCTAACCAGGTAAGGGATACAGATTGTATAGAAAAAGTATAAGCTGTTGCCTTCCATATACAAACTCTCCCGCTGTACTCAACATGTAGTTAGTTATAAGTGCTTAACCCAGCATAGGGATTGATCCAGAATAGAACCTGGCTGTCAGAATAAAATTTTGCAAAATTTTCTGTCCAACAGTTTTGCTGTAAGTGGCTTCTTTTTTTTTTTTTTTTTTTTTGGTACCAGGGATCGAACTAGGGTCCTTGCACTTGCACAGTAGGCGGGGAAACCACTGAGCTAAATCCCCGGCCCTGTAAGTGGCTTCTTTAAAGGAAACATCTTGCTGTAGAAGAGTTTCTTCTTTCTTGTCCTAGAATAAGGGAAGAATAAAATGCTAAAGTACATTTCTTCAGGAAATGTGACCTAGCCTACATTATTACCTTACATCATAAACATATGCAGTATGACATATAAATACTATAGTAAGGATTTTTATACAGGTATGCATAGACATAAAAACAGAATTTTTAAAACTGGTTTTGTTAAGGTATTAACTTCACATGATGAATGTTTTGTTACAGTGTACTGTATACCTGCATGTAGTGTTTGTTTTTATTACCACATGTATATATAAAACCTTTAGTGACTTTATTTTATTATGACAATATCTGTGCCACACATTTTCACAGACAGTAAAGACTTTCTTTTTAAACCTTAATGTAGGTGAAGGTACCAGTAAGAAGCTGGCGAAACACAGAGCTGCAGAGGCTGCCATAAACATTTTGAAAGCCAATGCAAGTATTTGGTGAGCTAAATTTCTTTGTATTCTGCAGCTCAAAATTATCATGGCTGAGGTAAGATTAAAAATTAAAACAGTGAACAGTTGATAGTATCTTAGCTCTAACCTATGTTTCTATAATGCAAACCTGTCATCCATTAAGGACAGTTTTATCCATTTAAATTCATCAAATAGCTATTACATATAGGCTTTACTTTTTTTCTTCCACTCTAATGGGGTGCAGTGGGCAGAAAACTAGAGTGTTTCTGGCAAATGTTAATATTCTGTGTTAGACTTTGAGTATTTCTGCAATGAAGAAAACCAGGCATGAGATGGAAAGAGATCAGCTAAAAATGTTTGTGTGGGAATTTTTATTTGAAAGAATGAGGCAGAGATTTTCTTTTATTATAGGATGTATACCAAACAAGAGAATGTTAAGTGGGACATTCTTGCCATCTTTTCAGTTTTATGTCAGGTTAGGTGCTTTTGGAACATCACACGCATCATTAAGTGATATCCTTTGCCTCCTGCTGGACATACTGGCCAGACTGAGCTGCTGTCTGAGTGCAGTGAAAAAGACAGGCCATTACTTGTGGAAACAATGGCAAGAGTTTAGTATAAATGATTAAGTAGAAAATGTTTGTCATTTATTTAGTAATTTGGGGAAATTATTTTATTTAATACCATGTTTAAAAAATGTTTAGCTTTGCAGTTCCTGATCCTTTAATGCCTGACCCTTCCAAGCAACCAAAGAATCAGCTTAACCCTATTGGTTCATTACAGGTAAGTTGTACAGCTTTTCCATACTTAACATTTTGTCTCTTGTTAAAAAGACATAAATCAAAAATATCATAGCAACTAAGACAAGCCATTAATTTTTTTTTTTTTTTTTTGGTGGTACTGGGGATTGAACTCGGGTCCTTGCGCTTGCAGCAGGCGGCGAAACCACTGAGCTAAATCCCTGGCAAGCCATTAATATTTTAACGATAAGGTGAAATATTTTGTTTCCCAAGTTAGGATCATTAGAACTTATAGAACTAACTTATTTTCAATTTATTTATCTTTTGGATTTTCTTCCATATACCATATCTGCCTTTGGTTTGTGGAATTCCCATTTGAAATCAGCAGGACCTCAGTGCATGGGTAGTGTTTTATATCTTAAGAATGTCTCTTGCGACTTGTGTGACAAACCTCTTTCTAATTCTATTGAAACAGAAGACTTTTTACAGAGGCAAAATAGGGTAACCTAACTCAAGAATAGAGGAGTAGTCTATTTCTACTAGAAAAAAAGCATAGACACACATGCGTACATACATACATACACACATACATATATTCAGCTTTGAATTTCTGCACGGAGAATATCCTTCTTGCAGATTATCCATGTGCTCTGTTGGACCACTCCCCTCTCTATTATCCAGCCAATCCTTTGGTCTCTTTTCCTGCTCTGTGAGCTTTCCTATAGTTTTCTTCATGTTCTATGTACAATCCCATCCAAGTCTACTGTTTTCTGTCTCTGCTTCCCATGTGCTTTTGATCAGTTGTAGCAGCTGGCCATCAGTGAGTCTGGAAGTCCTTATCTAGGGGGCAGAGGCTGTAGGAACTGAGAGCATTGTTTCTGGTGTACGGAAGAGGCTGGCAAGGGCCTGTCTTTCTCATTGAACTCAGATGCCAGCTCACTCTGGCTTAAAGAATATC